GCCGCCTCAGCTCACTCTATCCCGGCCTCAGCGCACGCTAAGCCGGGGCTTCCCCTCACGCTAGGCCGCTGTGTTTTTCGTTGTGAAAGCGAAACTACTTTGTTTGGCCTTCCAAAAATGGACACGACTAGAAATCAGTGGTTAAGTTGTATTTACAACACTGTTCCAGAACAGTTCAACCCAAATATTTAGATGTGTGCAATGCATTTTATGGTGGACTGTTTCCTGATCTTGGTAGAGTAGACTACAATGCCGGCTGTTCTGACTCACAGACTGTAAGTAAGTTTTTATATTTAAAGAATTTGCCACTGACGATTCAAACACGAGTTTTGAGCAGTGTAGAGTAGCACTTGTTTGTCATTTCTCCGATCACAAATGCAGACATGGTTTTATGTTTATGCGGCGTGATGCAACGCGTAAAAAGACAGTATAAGTCATTATAATCCGTAATTATGTCCCCACTGGATACAACAAATGCCTCTTTTATAATGGATTTTAAAGTTTTTGTCTCGTCTCTCCGGCCTGACAGGGCATCACAATATGGTAAGGGCGTAACATTTCCGTCACATGCTTGAGGTATTCGGCCAATCACAATGCACTGGATAGCTAGCCAATCAGAGCACACCTCGCTTTTCAGACTGATGAGCTTTGTAAAAATCGACGCGTTTCAGAAAGGCGGGGCATAGAGGAGAAACAATAATGTACAGTATGTGGAAAATAATGTGTTTTTTGAACTTTAAACCGCATAAACACATTTCATTACACCAAATACACAAAATAATGTTATTTTTAGCAACATCATATGACCCCTTTAAGGCATAGTTCACCCAAAAATTAAAACTCTTGTCATGATATATTCACTCTCATGCACTTCCAAAACAGTATGACTTTGTACATACATTGGAAGTCACTGAAAACCAAAATTATTATTCAGAATATCTTATTACAGATGCAGATTTAGAACAACATATGGGTAAGTAATCTATGACAGAATTTTAAGTTTTGGGTATACTATCCCTTTAGTGTGCGGACTCGAAGCAGTTTTACTTTTTAGTTTAGTTTAGTAAAACTGCAAGGCATTTTTACAAAGTGTAATGCGTAACTTTTTACAGTACATATTTACCTTCTCAAAGACCTTTTATATTCATTTACAAAATATTACCATTGAAGTATTTTTATTCTAGAAATACACAGAAGAGTACATTTACATTCAATTCACTTATACAGTCAGCTAGTTAGGTAAATAGTAGATAATTCTCATAGAATCTTGCATATTTTATTGTTTTATGCATAAGTGTATGAGACCTTGTAATTAGTCTATCTCTCATCAGACACGGATGTGGAGACAGCTAAGCGGGCAGAAGAGGAGTGGATCATGCGTGATGCCCGCCACTGGCTCACAAATGGGCTACCTGCTAATCTTTGCCACCCCCGGACTGGTGCTACTCCCTTACATGTAGCAGCAGCTAAAGGATATCTGGAGGCCATTAAGTAAGTGTGAATGCAAAAAGAGAAATGTTTCCTCTTGAGTTTCCTCTTGGCATTGCAAAAGTTTTACTTATAACATGGTATAAAGCAAATCTGTTTTTTGTAATAGTTATATTCTTAATGGACAGTTTTACCCCAGATTGCTGGTATCTCAGTGATTAAAACCCTAGAGGCCATTTCCATCATTATTTGGCCAGGTCAACACCCCATGCTCATGCAGAATGTTCCGCTATGCCATTGGGCAGTTCTCTGATCACAGAACAGCCATTGTTTACTTCCTGTCCCTGTGAAAAGTGGAAAAGGAGTGGATGCCTGTGCCAATGTTCTTCCAGCACAGTTTCCATCACATGAGCTGTTTAGAGCAGAAGTCACATTGGCTTCCTCTACAATGCATGATATCTCAAAACTTGACTGAAGGGAAAAACAAATAATTGGTCAATGTTTAGAGATTGTTGTAGTCATTGGGCCTCATTTCCGAAACAAACATACGACAGAAAATTGGGCGTACGGTCGTTTCACCGCAAAACTGGGAATTTATCTGTATGGACGTGAGCGGTGGCTACGATCAAATCTCACGTCTGGTCTTAGCTTGTGTACGCAAGTTTTTGAGTTACCTGAACTTGCGCGCAGCATAGTAAATACAGTGGAGAATTGTAGAATGACAGCATTTTGTTCATTTGTATTTTCCTGACAGTCAAACGAACCTCATTAGTCGATCGTTAACCAGTAAGATTAGAATGTCTTTTTTTTTTTTTTGGTTTTATACAGGGCTTTAGTTTTATATGCGCGAATAGTAGCGTAAACAAGACCATGAGGATTCAATCGTCGCATCATGCACCTGCAGCGCTTCTGTGAAAGGAGTAAAACAGAAATTAAGTCTATAAAATTAATAAAATAAATAGGATCACACAAAATATATAATAGGCTATAATATAATTAACAGGCACCTCACGCATACACAAACAACATTAGTTCTACCGTTGCCTGACATTTCAGCCAACTAAAATGCAGTCAACCAAACATAAAAGTTACTTTTTTTAAATATTTCAAACGTAATAAACACTTTTCTCTCACTTCCGTTATCTATGATACGCGGATCCGTTCCGGCGGAAGGCGTATGATGTATACACAGCGCTCGCGCCTCTGAGATATGCTAGTCTCGCGAGTTTGTTTAATAGGAGCAAAGGAAGCAAAGTTTCCTTACTTTAGCAAAG